GAGATATCTTTCTCTTTATTAGATAAAGTCCCTAAATGATGGGATTGCAAGAGTAAAATAAGCGAAGGGAAGGAGAGTAACAAATTAGTCGGAAATGAGATCAATTCACGTCTCAGAGTGAGGGATTAGATAGATAGATCTCACTCTCTGAAATTTCTGACAAATATAGACTATATGGAAATTCTACTGCAAAAATATCACTATCTATATAGGATGCATTGATATATCACATATGCATTTGTCCCAGATATACCTCAATTATTATTATGAAACTTACTTTCATCTATCTCATAAACAGACTTAAAATGCCCCTTCAAAGGTCATACAAATAAAAAAGAAACAATCCGTAGCGTAGTAGTAAGTAAGCCCAGTTAACAGCAGCAGCTGGACGAGTGTGAGTGCGGGCAACGAGAGAACATGTTGCGCTGTGACGCGTTGCCACAGTTGCAACTGCAGCGGCAGTGGCAGCGCCAGCGGCAGAGGCAGAGGCAGAGGCAGTGGCAGCTGCCACTTGAATGCGCAAACACAAAGATTCGCATATGAGAGACCCAGACCCAGTTAGGACATGCACAGAGGCTCTGCTCGTAAACTTGAACATAATTCGCCTGGGTTATCCTTGACGGAATCCTCTTTAATGCTAAGCTGGCTGAGTAGACAGATGGACGGCTAGTCGGTCAGTTAGTCCTAGACCAGCTGTTTATACAACTCGTGCTTTATATACTGAACACACACGCACACACACACACACACACACACACATATATATATATGTGTGCACATAGCTCACACCTCGCCGAGTTACTGCAGTCAAAAAGCGAATATTTAAGAAGCACAATACTACACACATACATACATATGTATGTAGTCTAGTTTCCTGCTACTTCTTCATTTTTTTCGCAACTCGATTCTCGACCCCCAGCCCCCAACACCCACCGCCCAACGCCCAGTCCAAGTCCGTGTCCAAATATGAGTACGGGTCAGCTTCACATGCGACCCGCTTGGCTATGCTTATTACAAATGGCTTGGGCGGCAATCTAAAAGTAGCGCAAGTTTATACTTGGCGCGTCGGGTCGAGTGCTGCCGACTGTGTAATGCTCGCTCACAGCTCTTATCTGCTATATACATGCTTACACAATAAATATTTAAGGTACTGGAAATTGTTAGAAGATGAAGTCGTTAAAAAATATACACACTTTATAGGTATAAGCATAACTATGAAATCTACATATATATTCATATATACCAAACCAATATACTCTTCTCACCTGATGCACGCATTCACTCACTCCTCGTTAAAGAAGTTAAACCTGCTGCCCAAACTCACTCAAGTGAAGAATTTCTGAACGGTCAGTGAAATAAAACCAAATGCGGAAGGAGGAAAAAATAATATATATGTATTATACAATACATAGTTTTAAACGAAAATTAAATACTCTTTCAGCTAGGCTTATGCATAGTTGGGATAGCATAAAAATATTTCAAATATAACATATGTATATGCTAAGATCACAAAACATATTAAAATTATCCGAAATATTAAAAATATTGAATACGTTGAGCATAACAAAAAAATATTTCAAATACTAAATAAGTATCAAGTTCAAAGTATGAAAATTATTTAATATTATAAAAATAATTTTCAGTATTTAAAAATAAATAACTTACATATGAAAAAA